TGGTCTCTTCCAACTCTATGATTCTATGATTCTATGATTCTAATATCTTTTAGACATAGGTAGTTTTGTGCTAACAATACCTATTATCTCCTTTTTAGGATAGACTATTGGTGAAATTCTATATTCCTTTACTTTGAACACAACTTATTTCTATTGGATTGTCAGTTCAGTTGCAGCACTATTTATTTCTGAATTGGCCCAGTGTATCCATAGCTGTATTTAGTTAGTTAGTTGTTTCACACGCCATTCCTCCGTGTGCTCTGCACAATTCCAGCTACACCTCATACTTAGAACAGGAAGACAAAAGCAAAGAAATCCTGCAGAGTCAAAAGTAGGTCTGCGGAGTCAGAAACATTTTTGGGTGGAGTATGAGTTGGAGCTGGTAGAAATGTACCTGCTCAGACGTGAAAATACAACACTTATAATATTATAACAATATATTGTAAATATGACAGCCAGTGTTGTATAGTGGTTTGAATGCTGGACTACAACTCTGGAGACCTGGGTTGAAATCCCGGCTTGGCCATGGCAACCCCCTGGATGACCTTGGGCATGTCACACACTCTCAGTTTCAGAGGAAGGCATAGTCAAATCTTCACAAGAAAAAAATCTTGGAACAAACCTTGCAAACCCCCCTCCCCCATGATAGGTTTGCTCTAAGTCAAAAATGAAGGCACACAACAACATAGGAAATATTTCATTTTATACTTACATTGTACCTCTTTTTAAATTTATTAAATTTCTAGTTTGGTGTATACTTACCTTCATAGGAATTAATCAAATAAATATATTTCATGTTCTATCAGTCTAAGTAGGTTTATAATGTTTTTATAAATGTTTTGATTATTTTAATTATGTGATGTTTAATACTGTTTTAAGGGGGGGTTGGTTTTAGGGGTTATATTGTATGGGTTTTTTATGTAAGCCGCTTGGATTGTCTTTTTCAATAAGCGGGATATAAATACATTTTATTATTATTATTATTAAGTAGCCTGATGAGTCACATGGTAGTGATTGAATGTATTATGTAACTGTTTTGCCGCAGTAAATTTTTATAACTAATTAATATACATTTGTATTTTATGAAGGAGTCAAAATCAAACAGTAGAAAAATAGAGAAGTTGAAGTCAAGAGTGGAAAGTTTGGCATACCTGGTTAAAAGGCAACATTGCTCTTGCCAGGAAACAAATATTTCTGATTAAAATTTGTGTTGGGACAGCTCACATCTTTCATCTAGTTTTGCATTATTATTATTATTATTATTATTATTATTATTATTATTATTATTATTATTATTATTATCCCACCCCTTTCCCCAAAACTGGGACTCAGAGCAGCTTACAAGATTAAAAACAGTACAATTTAAAAACATAGTAATTCATTCCCTGAATTGATGACAGTGCAAATGGTTACGTTGGCTGTTGGGATTAAGAGGTCATGCATTGAATTGAGTACCCTTTTTACCTATTTATCCTTCATATATTACTTTAGCTTTCTAAGTTATCAGCTGGGGGGGGGGAAAGGTATGGGTGAGTACACTATCTCCCCTATTCAAGAGAAAATATTCATCATGAAAGAATGTTTCATGCAAATAAACTTAGGAGGTGCTCATATAATCCTGGGCAGATACACTGCCTTTCAAACTAAATTATTGTGTGGGTTTTGTTGGCCTTTTGGCCATTAATTCTATACTGAATAGCTAAAAAATTTAAAAGCCTTTATAAAAGGGGGATCAGTTCTGTCCTGACTCAAAGAATAGCAAGGGGAGAGGGAGAAAGAGCTACTCCCCTTGATGCATTTCATTAATCATATTATTTGCACAACATTCTTCTGTTATTCACTGGCTAGTAAAATATGTACTCACGTTGTCTCTTTTTGAATGCTTATTTTTATAGAACTGAGGATATCTTGTAATTTTTGTATTTTATTACTGAGCTCTTCAAGATTTCTCCCCCTTCTTTGAAAGAATGTTTTCTTTCTCTCAAAACTGGGCCACATGCCTCTAAGGAGACAGTGGTGCATGATTTCATTCCCACCTTTCTTCTTTTTTGGCATCTCTGAGGCCTGCTATGCCCAGAAGTGCTTCTACTCAAGCTGGACTATCAAATCAATTATCACAGCAGTCTACTTTCTAAATATGGATGGCAATGAATGACAACAGGCAATGCAAACTTTCAGCTTAGATTTGTCATTGGTAATGAAATTTTTTTGTGTGTATGTGCACATACATTCATATGCATGTGTATATGTTTCTCAGAGCCTATAATTTGGCAAACTCTTCCCCCTGCTGTCTACAGCAGCACTGTGTCAGATGCAGAGATTAATAGCAATAACTAAAGTTTCATATTTCCAGAGCCACAGTCACAACAAAAAATGGTACAAGGAGCCATTATAGGAGTGTGGGCATGGCCTGCTTGTCTACTCTTTAGATTACTTTGGCCTCTGAGAAAATGTTGAAGTACTGCCATACTATTAATTGATTACAGAGGTATTTACCCGAGCCAGGTTCGATCAATTAGACACTATAGTAAGATATGGAAGATTCCAGGGTATCCCTTATAATGAACGATTCTGCATTTGCGGGGATCAAGATATTGAAGATCTTTCACATGTTTTGTTTAGTTGTAAATTGTATCAAGCGGAGAGAGTTCAATATTTACATCATTATATTGAAAGAACATCATTTTGGGATCCTCATATTAGATTGGCATACTTTATGAGTGGACAAAATGTAAAAATCTCTATTGCTACAGCTCGGTTCCTTCATAAAGCAGTCCTGTTAAGATCTAGATACGTTGGGACGATTGGGGTTAATTGCAAGGGTGATGAATTGGTATGAAAGATGGTGTGGGATGTATTTTGTTATCCTGACCTCTTATTTTAAATTTTCTTTTTCCTTTTTTCTTAATTTAATTAAAATTTGAATTTGAATTTGAACGCTAATCTTGAGTTTCAATCTTATTTTTTTAATATTAAATTTATTTCTAATTTAATTTTTTTATTTTAATCCTAATTTATCATACTATATTATCATACTTTTATT